TGATGATTCATGCAAGCAGCGTTTGAGGCGCATACGTAATTTTGTTTGACTCTGTTTAAGTTATCTTAAGTATAAAATTAATATTAAGTTGCATATCAGCTAACACTTTTTTACCAGTCTGTTAAAATTCTGCCGCAAATTAATTGAATTTCGCCACTGTGCAGATAAGAAAATGGCTGATTGTGAAAAAATACAAATGATAATATCTGGCTAGTCGTCAAGTCTAATTATTCGACTCGCCCGTGTGATTGATTGATAAGAACAGTTGTAATTAAAAACCAATTGCAAGCTCATCAAAGAAATTCCAGTCGAACATTGCACAGCTGCAATATAAGTAAAGGTAAACATTACCTTTAAATACGATAATTAAGCCAAGGTGCTAAAAAAGCTGACACCGTTTCAGTTTCTCAACTGTGACAGCTTCACGTTCTTATCTAAATCAATGACAACAAAATGTTGAGACATTTGCCTGAGTCGTGCCACCACGACCACCACCACCCGCATTAAGTGAATCACATACACGTTTCAAACCTGTAAAGTAGCACTTAAGCCACGCCCTTGCGCCTCGAATAGTCAAATAGCTCACCGCGTAATTATCTGAAATTGGAAATGTTAATTGTCACGATGTGCCAGAATAATGGAATAACTCGAACAAATTTGAATCCATTACGATCTGAATTTAGATTAAATAGCAGCAGCAGAAATTTATTATTTTCTATTATTAATAGTGATATTAATAATTTTATTATTTGTTATTTTAATTATAACAAATTTAATATTAATCAATATCGACTATCGATATTCTATATCTGTTCCTATATTACTATAGTTTCTATCATTATGTTATCCCATTTGAGAGTTGGGACACTCTCCCCGTTCTCTCTTTCTCCCTCTATTTAATTCTCTCTCTCTGTCTTTTCATATATACCTCTCGCTATCTCTCTCCCTGCTCTCAATTTATTTTTCTGCACATCTATCTCTCTCTCTTTCTTCCCCCTTTCTCTTTCACCCATTTATACGCGCATTTAATATGCACTTTGACATTCACTTCTGCTTGTTGCTTCTCTGTCGCTTAAAGGTTGCATTTGTTGTCGTTTTAAATACCGGCGCCTGCAGTAACAAGCATCTGATGATGTAATTTAATACTACAAGTAGAGGTAACGCCGACAACAACAATAGCAATTTTTGCATAAACAGCATCGAGTTATGTGCCGGAGTCTCTTGGGCAAATCTGCTGGGCAAGCAGCGCCGCTACGTGCCAGCCAAGTTCAATGGTTTAGGACTGACCTAGCTAACTTTTAACTTGTTTTGCTTTTATTTGTAGGCCAACAGCGATGCAAGTTGTGATTATATTTTACATAATCAAACTGCTTGAATTAATGGTGTACATTTCGTACAATCAACATGACGTGCCTAGTCGAATTATATAAAAGAAAACTGCGTTAACTAAAATCTCGCAACCCGTTGTCGGGCATAAAAATAAACTGATGATAAAAGTAATTAGACGCAGTTTGTGTGCTGCCCAGCACAAAATTTGATTTCACCAATGGAGCTTATCTGGCTAACTAGTTAGTATCGCACAGATACAAGCCAGTTGAACACTGCAAGAACACTACAAAAGGGCAGCCATCCTTGGGGCTGTAGAAAGTAAGCTCTAAGGTCAGACCATAAAACTGACGATGTCGTTGATGTCTACGGCGCATTATCGCATTGTAATTCTAATGTTAGATCTTTTATGTATTACTTAGAATCAACTGCGGTTCTTTATATATTTATAAACCAGCCATAGTCACGGCGACGCCAGCCGCGCCGTGACCTTCACAAATAGTTGTTGCGGGCGCAGCCAGTGGGGGGTGGACCAGGGTAGCCAGCTGAGAGTACGCATACTTATAATACCTACTGTACGTACACATTTATAGACTTCAAACCTGACGTGGGCAACAAGTCTCGGCTGGCCAACAAGCTACCCAAGACGCTCTGATGCTCATTATCGAATAGCTGTGACGCTGTGGCGCATAACTATATCTAATAAATGCAAATCAACATTCTCACAGGCATACATATTATGTACATACAGTATGTATATGTATGTGTGTACATAGACAATTATCATCACTAGTTGGCTCTGTGGCACATAGCAATTTCGCTGCCCGTCATGCGGACGTTGTCGTTGCTTTCGATTGATAACCGAATCGATTTGCTGACGAGACACTGCTCATCATGCGGCTCAGTCTAATTGGCCCGTGATAGTACACCTCAACAGACCCTAACTGTGGCCGCAGCGCTCGTGACGACGTCGCCAAGGTGCAATAACCCTTAGCAAAATTCAACACGTTTTTGTTTTTCTTTATAAATGATTTCTTGTTATTTACATTTCATGCTTTGTATGCCCCAGCCGAGGGTATTGTAACCTTATCAGCAAGTGCAGTTTATTATTTTCTTTCAACATCTCTAGAAATAAGCAATCGAAAACTGCTTTTGTTTACAATTTGTTCCGCAAGGGTATTTAAAATTCGTTGTTTGGTTAGGTTATTTTTATAAACAAGACAACTGGGGTGAGAGGTGTAAAATAACAAAGCAGCAAGACATAAAAATTATAATAAAAATGTTACAAAATGCGATGATTAAAATTTACACCAAGCACACAGGTGAAGCTAACCACCATAAAATGTGGCAACCGAGAGAGTTGGCCTAATAGGCAACAAGGCAGGCAGAAAGAGTTTCTCCTCCAGCTGGAACGCAGTGAACTGCAGATGAGCATTTGGGTTGAAAGCGCAGTGGAAGAAAAGCGAGCGCTAGGTCAAAGCGCTGTATGAAAATGGAAAATGAATGTGAAAAACATTTTCCATAAATTAAGTTTACATTTTATACATACATACAAAGATGGTAGATAGTTAAATTAAATTTATAGTAAATTATTTTTGTTTTAAAATGTTTAGTTTAATTAGAAAAGAAATGAAACTAACAATTGAACTTGATATCAAACAGCTAAGTTGAATGTTGTTATATTTTATTAAAATATTAATATTTTCGAATGATAAATGGGATCCAAAATCACCAAACCGTAAATCTTGAAGAGTTGGGCACTAAAACTGTGTAAGATATCATATTATATCGACTAGCCACACAGATCTATAGAAAATATCTATGTAAATACATTATATTTTTCATATTCATTACATTCATTAGAAATTCCAAGTCTCTAGCTTTAAAAGATATACAAATTTGTGATTAGTCTGGCCCCAAAAACATCCTCTGACTTGCTCAGAAACTTGGGTTCGTTATGATAACATGATAATAAAGATAAAACCAATCCGATTTTAATCACATCTACTGCGCAGTCGAGCGTATCAGTTTATAACATAATAATTAGTCAAGTGGGATTATAATAATTTATGACTTTATAATTGACAATAAATAATGTCCTTTGCAAGTCTGATATCTGGCGAGCTTTAGCCAATGAACTCTTAATGACTAGGCGAAAGAAAGTGGATGGAAATGTATTATATTTAGACTAATTAACCGTTACTCGGGCAGCACAAATATTTCAAAAGATTAGCTTGCTTTCTATTAGTCTGAAAATGTAATTATATTTCGTGAGCTTCAAACACACTTTTATTGCAAACAGTTCTAAATTATTTATAGTGCCTCAACCTTGGATTTCTTCGAAAACCACATTTTAAGCTTCATTTAAAATGAAAATTGAACGCCCTTTTGTGGGGGAAGGTAGAGTGGGTCTGCCCACTCTGCTGCTCGCCTTTTCACTTTGAGAACCGTCGCACATGCATCGGCATGTGTTTATAATATGCATCGTATAGGGGCAGGAAAAGTGGAAAAGTAATAGGGAAATAGCAGGAACGTTGTTATATAAATATTTATAGTGAATTATAAACAATTGTTATCTTTGTATGCCATCATCGCAGCGCTGCCATCGGAACACAATGCTTAGCACTTGAGTTGTTCATTCCAGTCTCGATCCAACTCGACTCTCGACTTCACAGCAACTACATATAGATATCTTGTCACAGTCTACAGAACCTAATACATATCCTTATCAGGTGCCTCGGTACACGCGCACCGTGTGTCGATTGTATTTATAGCTGACAAGCGGCCACAGAACGTCGAGCGTCGCCCAACGTCAGCCAATTGGTATTTGGTATTGATCGAGCGTTACTCAGTCTCTATATAAACAAATACTATATTATTATGGCATAGATCTTATATGTATGGAGCACAAAGGTCTCGCTCTATCACGCACAGTGGGTTGCGTCAATAACAAACAGAATTGGTTTAATGAATAAATAAATCTGTTAGAGAAATCATTCATTCATTTAATAGCGATTAATAAAACAAAAGAGTGTTCAAATTTCATAAGAATTTTGTAATGTGTTGTAATTTTTACGAGGAAAAATAAACAAAGGCTTCACTGTTCGTTGCTTTCAGCTGATTTATGAAATTATAAAGAATTTGTTGTAAAACTAAACAAAAAAAATGCCACTAAAAAGGGAACAAATATTATGCACAATAATTAATGCAAAATTTGATCCATTTTTTATTATATTATTTATTTATTAATTATTTTTTTTATCAATTTTCTTCATTTAAAAATTGTAAGAAGTTAATAATTCCTAATGTAATTTAATAAATATTAAATGTCCAGACAACTATTCTAACCACCCACGCACTTCTGTTGGCATGTGCTTTCAATCAGCCAGCAAGCACAGAGATTTTGTCCAAATATGTGAGGAATTTGAAAAATTGTTGAATTATTTCACTATGAAATATTACGAAATGCTCTCTGGTATGCGAAATTGGCTAATGGGCGAGCGTTTGGTCCAGTTTTCAGCGATTGTGACGGGGATTATCAGCAGCCGAAGTTGATTCACCTTTTGACTTTGGACTCGCCTCGCGATTGTTTGTTTGCAGCTAGCATTGGGCGCAATCTCAAACTCAATGACAATATTTAATAATCGTGTTGTTTTCTGTTCGTGTATTTGCAGGCCATAGAAGGCAGCTGGAGGAGATCTTTGCTAAGCAACATGCAAATATGGATTCGGTGCCACCAGTGAGTCGGGACCATTTGATACTGCAGCCGTTGCAACCGTTGCGCTCGTCTCGCGGTTCCAGTTCCAATTTGCGGGCCAGTCGTTCGCCCTCCGCCACCAGAAGCAGCGAGCAAAGTAAATCTAATTATAATTACACCTCACATAATCTTTGGCAAGCAAACACCAAAAAGCTCACTCCTGTTAGTCGTGTTCTAGCCTTAGCCTTAATAGCTTAATCACTTGGCCCACAATTGGATTTATGCGACACGCTCATCAACAGTGTTATCAGTGTGCTTATGGGTCGGATGGGATGCCATGTTGCTTGGAATGATAGCGAATCTCTGCAGCTTATTCACTTAGCACTTCCGTTTCGTTCGACTGGGATGGCTGTTGATAATTATGTTCAGAGATTTTGTCGTCATGCAGAAGCCAATAAACCCTAAAAGATTAACTAAGCTTAATTCAATTAAAATGTCTAGTAATTTAGATAGTATGTTTTTTTCGATTAGACACATTTCGCAATTGTAGCCAGTTGACTTATGTAAAGTGAACTAAAATCTAGTCATATTTTTGATATTCATAAAAGATGTTAAAACATATATTCTATTTTTGTCTAATATCTCATTTTCTTCAATAAATTTTATTTTTTAGAGTGGTCAGACTTGAGGCTTTTAGCTTCCCAATTAAATTTTTCAGTCATTAAATCTTAAAAAACTACAGAATTTTATGTAAAACTTCAATCATCAGAAGTTGAGTATCTTATTAGCTTGTGTAGAATATGAGTTACTTTTCACATGGAGAATTTAGCTAAATTGTAATGAATATATTTATGTATTTTAGTAAACTTCAATTGAAAGCTTTCCAATATGTCACAGAATCACAGCTAAATTATAACTGTCTTACGAAATAGAATTTTAGGAAGTATTAAAAAGCATTTAGTGCTAATATAGCTTAACTATATTTGGGCTTAATGCTGTTTCAAGCTGCTTTGAATCATACGCACATTTATTAGTAGTTTATTTGTCTATTTCTTGTTTTGTAATAGTTTAGAGAGATTTTGTGCCCAAACATTTGCACACGAATGGCTTAAAAGCTCACAAGCAAATATGTGTTGTGTGCTTTTAAGCGTTCCATTGGCGCACTGCGTGCTTAGATGTGTTTGTGTTACACATACATATGTATTTGCTTATTTTGATTATTGCCGCTGAAAACGTATTTATTATATGTGACTTGTGTTCTTGCTTATCGTTCTTTGTATTGCATTTGACTTGTGTGTGTTGATTATCCTTTTGTTCTCGTTTCTCTTTTATTTCTTTTGTGTCTTCAAACAGCTTTGTAACCGTTGACCGCACTTACATACATACATACGTAGGCACACATACACACCCATATATATATATATATATATATATATATTGAAAACGTAGGTATAAAAATAGTAAAAATATTCAAACTGCACTTGCAATCGCACACTTAAATTCATGCTCATAGCTATATGTATTACAGTTATGTGAAAAATAATAGAAACTAGCAATTTATATCTTTATAAATTTACACACATGTTATGACTTCGATTACAATCTATAATTTCATAAATTATTTTCATAAATTGTAAAATCTAAAATAATTTTTTGGCAAAAGTCGACTTTGACATAGTTTTTCCGATTTGTCACGTCCAAAAAAGTATATATATAAAAAATAATATAAATATAGTTTATGATAACAAGGACTTTGTATAAAGCCAGTACATTCTTTTACTTTTTTTAACGTGTATAAAAATATTTACATTTACATTAAAACAAAACTTAATTTGTTAGGGTATTTGCAAGAGCATTGTGTTTTCTTAGTACTCACATAACTGTACATGCAACCAAACACATAAATACATTCGCTCATTTTACACACATACACGCATACACTCACCCATTTCTTGCATTTTCTACATTTTTCTATTCACAGCCACGCAGACGCGATTTTAAACGCTATTAAATCGCTAACACTTTCTGCTGCTGCTTTTTAACGTACGTCTTTCTCTTTCTCTCTATCTATCTCTCTCTCTCTCTATGTCTGTCTGTCTCTCCTGCTTTCTCCCACTGTCTCTTTTGACGCACAGCTGTCTGTAAGGCTGTCATTTATACTCACATATGCACACATACGCTTACAAGCGCAGCCGCAACAACAATAACAACAACAGCAAATTGAACTTTTTTCTTTGTGGTATTTTGAGCGTTGGTTTTTGTTATTGCTTTATCATTGTGTTTGATGTTATCGTTTGCTGCGACTGCACCTGTGCCTCGCCTTCATCCATTTGACAATTGAAGTTTGAGCCGAGCCAAAGCCATAAACTACATATACGTACCATACATACTTTCTATGCGCAACAACTCAACAGTGTCCAGGGAGCGCACCAGCGACTCAGCGACAGCAACGTCGGGTGGAACAACAGTAATCACAACCACGGTTGCAATTGCAACCGTAACAACGACGACGACATCAGCAGCAGGAGGAGGGGGAGGAGCGTTGGGTACGCCGGCAACGTCGACGGCAGCCAACAGCAATTCGTCGGCCTCGTCCAGCACAGTGGCAGCTGCACAGGCGGCTGTCTATAGCGGCGGCAACACGGTGACCGGCAGCCTGAGTAGCAGCGGGGGCGTGGCAGTGCGCGGTTTTCGCAGCCACAGCCCCACGCACCGGCGACGAAGCCGTGAGCGCCAACGACGCACACATGGTTCTGATCAGGGCGGTCTTCTGGCCTACAGCGGAATAGTGGGCACCGGCATTGGAGGCGATATGACAGACTTTGGCGTCGGCCTGGGCCTCGGCGGCGGCGGTGGTGGTGGCAGCGCCGGCACCGGCAGCGGTCTAGAGGACTCACGCTTGTCCGGCAATGAGGATTACTATGCGTCAATGGCATCCGACGAATTTGATGGCAGCAAGAAGCTCCACCATCGACGCACCCATGAGCGTAGTTCTAGTGTGCAGGCCATCGATCGGCTCAATACAAAAATACAGTGCACCAAGGAATCCATCAGGCAGGAGCAAACAGCCCGGGATGGTGAGTACAATACTGAGATTCCTTTGACAACGTATAAAGCCAAAGGAGTGTCTGAATAGCATACTTATTGAGGGTAATTGACAAATATAGCGTAATCCAATTTGATTGATCATTTGATCTTCGCCAATCATTTCTGACATCTTTTATATCCATCCTCGTAGATAATGTGAACGAGTATCTGAAGCTCGCAGCCAGCGCCGATAAACAGCAGCTGCAACGCATCAAGGTAAAAATCAAGAAATAAATGCAATGTTTGTTGAGAGTTGCTAAGAAGTTAGTCCGATTGCAGGCAGTGTTCGAGAAGAAGAATCAGAAGAGCGCTCACAGCATATCGCAGCTGCAAAAGAAACTGGACAATTATACCAAACGAGCCAAGGATCTACAGAATCATCAATATCAAACAAAGAGCCAACATCGACAGCCGCGCGAGGTGCTGCGCGACGTTGGCCAAGGACTACGCAATGTGGGCGGCAACATACGTGACGGCATTACGGGCTTCTCCGGATCGGTGATGTCGAAGCCGCGAGAATTTGCGCATCTCATCAAGAACAAATTCGGCAGTGCAGACAACATAAATCAGATTGCCGACGCCGAGCTGCAAGCCATTCAGGCAGCAAATCCGGATGCCTTGACCGTGGCCAATGAGCGATTGCTGCATCAGCCCGGCGCTGGCACCTCTACGGGCTCTGGCTGTGGCAACAACATGAACAACAACAACACTGGCAGCGGCACGGGCAAATTCAACAGCGACAACGGCAGTGAGTGCAGCAGCGTCACCAGCGAAAGCATACCAGCGGGGTAAGTGCAATGAGAATGACTAAAGCAAATTGCATTGACTACGATATAAATCTTTGCGTTGTTACTGCAGATCTGGCAAGAGTCAGTCAGGCGCCAGCCAGTACCACATTGTGCTCAAGTCGCTTCTTACTGAACTGTCTGAACGGAAAGCCGAGACGGAGAAACTTAAGGAGCGAATCGAACGTCTTGAGGTGAGTTTAATCTTGAAGATTAATATTTATTAATTTTATTTAATCTCAATTCAAATATCAATTTTTAGACAAGCCAAAAGGAGTTTAACAATTTGACAGCCACTCTGGAAGGTGAACGCTTTCGTGCCGAGGGATTGGAGGAGCAAATCAATGACTTGACGGAATTGCATCAGGTTTGTTTCCTTGATATAGTGTACAATCCTTGTGCTAATTTCGTTTTTGCCTCCTTTTGCAGAATGAAATCGAGAATCTGAAACAAACAATTGCTGACATGGAGGAGAAAGTACAATACCAAAGCGATGAAAGACTACGTGATGTCAATGAAGTGCTCGAAAATTGTCAAACAAGGGTAAGTTGATACTTGGCTTTGGCGTAAATGCTAGAAAATGTTAACAATAAACTGTAATCCAATGCCAATAGATATCGAAAATGGAGCACATGTCTCAGCAGCAATATGTCACCGTCGAGGGCATCGACAATTCGAATGCTCGCGCCCTGGTTGTGAAACTCATCAATGTGGTATTAACGATATTGCAAGTGGTGCTGCTGTTGGTGGCCACCGCAGCTGGCATCATAATGCCCTTTCTCAAAACGAGGTAATTATATATATATATTATGATATTTATATATTATAATTATGAAATGACTTTTTATAGGCTTCGCGTGCTGACCACATTTTTAACGATTTGCTTTATAATCTTTGTGATACGTCAATGGCCGGATGTGCAGGATATAGGTGCGGGCCTTGTGCGGTATCTCAAGCAGTCGCTGGTGGTAAAGTGAGACGGCGACGACTCCATGTTCGACTAGTAGTTTCTTAATGTTAATAGTATTAGGTTAAAAAGTACATATTTTGTATATAACTTATAAATACACAAAACGTAATAGTTTAAAATTTAATTAGTGTCAAGACAAAACACGCATCACATAAACGAATCACCAATACATATTCATATATATATCTATATATAGACTTATAAATATATATATGTATACGCATACATAAATACATACGACTTGTACAAACAAAGTGGAAAACTATATCGCACACATCTACACATTCATACACATAAATGTATACACTTAGCGAAATTCGATTTATAAACTCTGCTTACGGCTTAGTCCAACAACTGCAATGCTGACAAGTTTCTACGCATTACTCAATACTATAAATAAATATGTATATCTAAATACTATATATATGAGCTCTGTTTATAGTTATCGTATACATTAAAAACCATTTGTATTTGTACAAAACAATTTATTTGTTTTTATTTTTTATTTGTATCGTTTTAAACTATATTTTCCAGCCCTTGTTCGCCATATTTCGCTCAATTATTTACGCGCCCTCTATAATTGAACAAAACTTCCCACAAGTCTGTTAAATACACTTACAATAGAGTTCATATGAATATAAAACAAAACTGTGCAAGTAAACTTGCACCTTAACAGTTGTTGTAGTTCCCAGAGCAAAAATATAATTAAATAAATAATAACATATTGAAATACCTGCTGAAAACGCGAAGTCTAGTTATTGGCATTTTTAATGGACGTACGGCTAGCTTATTTTAAAACCCATATTAAGTCACTCGGTCTTAAGTGACACAACAGAGTAACAATTATTGGCATTGGTTAAATTTCCTAAAAATACATAAATAAATGTATCTTAAAACTAATTCTAACACTTAAATGGATGTTTGGGCCTTACATTTCTCATGCTGTTGACTATTGATGTTGGATAAACATATTCCTCAGAGCATCGATAACTGCCTCAATTATTTTAAATCTTGGCTAGTGTTCTACATAGCAATCAGCTTTTGTCTGTACACATCGAGTGTTGCATACTTTGAGGAATCGATTTTAAAATACAAAAATAAATAAGCCAAAAAATAAAGGAAACATTTGCAAGCATCAATTACGATTGGGATACGTCAGTTCGTTATTTCTATATGGTGACCAGGACATCGTGTCAGCTTTATATTTGTATAATTCGATAAGCGCATCCTATACATATATGTGATGAGTTAGACGAAAGCATGTGGCAATATCCAATTGTAGTTTTGCCTTTAATAATGTTTGGCCATTAAAGGCTTTTAAAGAACCTATATATTAAGATCTACCAACAAGCCCCATTTTCAATTTATATAATTTCGATTATATCAATTACGTTTAGTTTATTGTAAATTAACTTTAGATTACACGTTGAAACACATATGTTATAATGTCTTTATGTTTAATTGATTCCGTTTTACAATATTTATTTTATAGTTGTGAACAGTTTTTATCAGTTAATATTGATTCTTTAATATTCTTTATTTTTTTTAAGAAAATAATCACAAACTAGCACTTACCTTAAAGCCTATGATTTCAAAACTTTCATCTCTACAAATTACGCAGATTTCAACATATTTTTCGTATTATTCGTATGGCCTTTTTTATAATAAAAAATCGAATTGGAGAATTTGAATATATATTACAAAGCAAAACTTAAAATTAGTTAAATATACGGTAACATCATACAAAATCAATGAATGAATTGCTTCTTATTGATGAAAACTGAGTTCCTGGCTTGAAAACAACGTTCACGTGGATATTACAACTAGTGGTTATCAATAGGTTTAATTACACATGTTTGATTCGTTTTCTTTTGGTGACATTTGTTCTTGGAGTGTTGTGTGGTTAAAAAACAAGCAAATTTAATTATGTTATCAGAATCAGGTAAACAATTTCAATCTTATTCAAAAATAAATGGTATTTTCTTTCTCATATTAGTTTTGTTTGCGTTTCGACTTTAGTTATACAAGCCAATAATGTTAATAATATAAGGTATATAAAATAAATCACAATTTGTATACGCATATTTATGTTTGTGTGTTGTATATGTATGTGTGTGTGTGTGAATGCAATGTGCTCTGCGATGCAAACCATAATCATCCATGATTCATGACAATGATGATTACAAATACAATTACAATTACATATTATGTGTATTAAGGGTAAACATTTGTTAATTGTTTAAAACAAAGCAGCTGGCAGCCAGAGCTTAGCCGCTTGCAAGCGACATCTACTTTTGTAGTCCCTCTGAGGGGATTTCTTTTTGCCTGCTAGGTGTGAACTATGTCCTAGAAAATTACTATACTCTCTTATTAGCATATACTCATATGAGTATCGGGTCATCTGAGCTGCTGTGGGGTAGCGCGGCAACTCCTATACCGCCCTGTGTGGGCGTCTGTAGGAAAGCCGAGTCACCTGTAGATATACCCTGCTCTGTTGTGGGCGCACTGATTGCAATAGGTTCGTAAATGGAACGATGCGGTGGCATATCGTCATCATCTTTGAAAGAGCCGCTTAAATTCGGATTTAGTATGTTGTTCGATGTAGGATTGGAAATAACAGTAATTTGAGCTGCTTCTGTTATACCGCGATTGGCTACATCACTTGTACCGGACTCAATATGCTCAAGATACGGCGGCGCTGCAATGCTAATGCCAACGGGCTCACGGCGAAATAGGGAGCTGCAAACAATGTACAACCACATAAAATAACTTTAAAACAAATTTAAAAAAACAACTTACTTGAAGTTAATACGTGACCAAAATGACCGCCTTGGCTGATTCAACTGATTTGCCAAATGAGCTGGCAAATTTATTGCCCGATCGAAAGGATTGACGCGTCGTTGAAAAGGCGATGACGATGCACTTACCTGAGGCAGGGTGGAATCTAGTAGCGCTGTGTTAGGATTGAAAATTGTAAGGAGTAGATAAGAAAATATTATTTAATTGTAATATTCGATATGTCCTTAAATAAGTACTTTTAGATAAGCAAACAACTAAAAACTGAGCTGCTTGTACAACAAAAATAGAAAATTTAACTGAAATATCGTTTACAAACAGAGAATAAAAAATAAATAATTTTACTATTACAAATAAGCTGATAGCTAGTTGAAAATATATATTTCAGATTCGAGTTTTCAAACGAACAATAAAAATAGTCAACACGTACCATTTTCATCATCAGAACTTTGATATTCCTGTGCTGCGTTGAGAGTACGTGCTGTATCACCACGTCTGAATGTGCCATGTATTGTAGTTCCTTCTGCCGATGATGCGGAATTGATGCTGGTGTTGTTGCTGCCACTAGGCGCAGAGCCTGCAGTAGCCGTTGATTGCGGCTGCTGTTGCAGCAGCGGTGTGGTATCGTCATCAGTATCGGTGACGCTATCTAAGGAAGGCTGTCGATTCCGACTCGCACGTGCTTCGCCCTTCGTAAAAACCTTCCGTTTGCATATGGGGCAGACGCGACGATTTTCAGTTAGCCATGGATCGATACAGTGGCTGTGATAAGCTATAAAACAAAAATTATATGTTTACATAGGGCAAGCTACTTCAGTCGGGTGCAGTCACTTACGATGCGAACAGGGCAGCACGCGTAGTTTGTCATCCTCGACAAAGTCTTCGAGACAAATGACGCAGGTCTCGTGTTTAATGGTGGTATTATTCTTTGTATATCGCAGCACTGGTATCTTTTTAAGCATACTCTTGGGCAGCCTATAACGACGCAAACGGCGCTGCTCCCGTATGCATTTGTATATCATGTAAACAATCTAGATAAGGACGCAACCACATGGGATTAAAGAAAAACTCATTTGACATTCAATTAACAACATACCAAAATAAGGAAACATAATGCAATCAGTATGGAAAATGGCAATATCAATTGTGTGTTGATATTGAAGGGCAGCTCATCGTTAATAATTAGCACCACTTCTGGCGTAAAGAAAGATAATAAGGTTTTACCAGTAGTAATGCCCACAAAAACGGAGGGTATTTTTATGCCTGTGCTGTTGTTGGCGGTCATTTGCTCTAAAATTAGAATCACATTTAAATAAAAATTGATAAGTCATGTTTGATATACTATTTTGATTATAAATAATGGTATAATAGTATTTTCTTCGTAACTTAAGCTAAAAAAGAATCGTGTTACTCAAATAAATTGTCATACCCAGCTCATCGCCCTCGTTGTTGTAGATGATCACAGCGTAATACGTTGCATTCTGAGCCACGCGCACCTTGCGCTCAAATGTGCAATCACCACCGCTGTGTAAGCACAAAAAGATATCGTTACATTTCCGTTTCAGTGTCTACGATTTCAACTATGCTTACCGTGATAGGATTGCTACAAACTTGGCGCCGGGTGGATAGCCAGTGCGCGGTGGATCATTTAAATTATCACAACCATATGGATTACTGGGATCATGTGGCACCACAAATACCCGCAGACTATTGCCCACAATGGAAGGTCCGAATGTGGCAGGCAAATCGTTGAACTCTTCAATCAGCTGCATGGAAACAACGTTGCTATTAGTAAATTAAGCAGTAGGGTAGTCAGCTCTACTTGCCTGTGTGGTGGTGCGTCTGTATACGAGCACATGGGCATCAACGACCGCTTGATGACATATCAAACAGAGCCCCAGCAATGCCAGGTCTAATGTGAGACAATGATTCCTGGCCATGCTGATTTGTGTGCTGCTGCTGCTGTTTAGTACTAATCGAGCTCGAACTAAAAAAGCTGTTGTTGCTCGCAGTTGTTTAACTGTTGTTTTGCTGCTATTGTTTTAGTTGCTTGTTGCTGCGTCTGCTGCTGCTGCTTATGATTGTTATCATTTGCACTATTTGCATGTCTCATCTGTGCGGATGCGATGTTGACCGTGTGTTTTTGGTAGCCTGCAAAACAAGTGCATTAATGAAAATCCATTAAAAACAAGCTCAACTCAATATTCGAACAAACAGCGTCGGCCACAGCACCGCCATCGACTGCTGATAAGATAAACGCTTTTCAATATGTGTGTATCACCATGTATGTATGTATGTTTTTTGTGTAATTTGGTGCATGTATAGTGTGTGAGATTGTGTGTGTTTGTCATATTTTTGTTGTTCTTGTTTCCATGCTTCTTTCCTTTGGTCCCGTCGTCACAATCAGCTGTTCGATGTTTGTTGACAGAACCTTAGTGCTGGCACTTTGAACGATACTTTCAAAAATGTATATTTACTTGAAATAGCACCTTATGTAATAGTTAAATTTTAATACAATGCGGGTACAACGGGTTGGCATTCATCGTTGTTATGATTGAGCTTAATTTGTATCAATTGATATGTTAAAGTATTTTTCAATAATATATTCATAAGGCAGAGCACAAATTAAATGCATTGCAAATATTTGCTGCAGTTAAAACTTTACTAAAAAGCACTCAATTTCGCCGGTAATATCAAACAGTCTGAATCATCACAGACACATATATGATAACATTCAAAAACTCAATATTTTAGTGTTTTCATAATTTAGCCAAGCCTGTGGTACGAGCGTGGAAAATTGACATGAATTATAGTCCGAGACGATAATAATTTTGGCATACAGGTGTTGCTAGCGTAAAAATGTCACTAATTTCTGTATTAAATGCATAATTAAATAAAGAACGTCATATGTAATTAACACATCGTGCCCAATACATCGAACCAATACAAATGTGACATTAATGAGAACGTGACTTTGTTTTTATTGTATGCGCAAATAGAGAAATATAATCTTTACATAAATAAATAAATAAACATAAAACCATTTGACAAATGTGTGAGTGTGAGCGTGTGTACGCAAAAGCGTGTACCTGCTAGTTTCAAATTTAAGTTGGTGGACCGACTGTCTGATAATATATGTATACATCTATATTTTCATATACTTGGCATTCTCTAATGCGATGCTCTTATCGCTTTGTAAGCAAACGCTGCTAAAAAATAATGACTAATACCCCCTCCCACACATAATGCAGGCATATCACTTACATTAGTCCCCCTCGATTGCTTTTCAGATTCAGCTTCACACTGTTTATGTGTACATAAGTATATCCAAACAGAAATTACTCCAATGAGCACACACACACGCGAGCTAGGAGGCACACGCAGGTTGTTTCAGCACCACCCACCTAGCTTTATACGTATATACACTCTGCCTTGAACTTTACACACGCATAACTTTGGCGTCAAGGCTTTTACTACAGTAAATAAAGAAATGCACGCAGTTCTCTCCAACAGGTGATAAATACAGGACAGTGCCGAAAAACTAATTCTTATTTGAAATACTTTTAAATAGCCATATACAAAAGCTTAATTTAAACTGCGTATGCTTTTGTTATGCTTTTAATCGACTATAGGTGTGTGTATGTGGGTGTCTGTATTGGTGTGCGAATTAATTTATCTAAGAAAGCAGCTGGTGTTGAAGTTTAACAATCGATATAATGTGCTGGGCGGCTACTCACTTGGTTATAATGTTTATTTTTATAATTCTTTTGAACTTGGCAGCAACTGTTTGCTGGTCGCTGTACTATTTTTTTCTTTTCTTGTTTTTTTTAACACTCGCTCATTGTCATTCGTTTTTCTTCGGACTCGTCGCCATTGCAATTGCGTTGCAGTTAATTGGGATTTTTTTACACTACACGCGCACCACCAATTGTTTGACTTAAAAAACGAGACAGGGGTTTTCGCACTTTTGCTGATTACACATTTTACAGGCCCTTAAATTTTATTATTTAAGATGTATTGTGGCTTAGAACTCAGCGCAGGGCTCGGAATGCCCAATGTGACCATTGTAATATCGATGTTTTCTTCTAACTAGCTATCGATGTATCGTTACTTTTTATTTATATGGGCTTCCCGTATATCCACATAAACATTTTACTAGTTCATTTTAAAATAATACAATGAACGATAAATGTTAAAAAATTAAAGCAAAAATTTAAATATTTATGCTAATGAAACTTAAATTTAAAGTATACTATAACAAATCATTACGCTCGATCAACTTTTTAATGGCATAGGATTATCGTACGATATTACCTCAAATACAGAAATTAAAAAAATATATAAATGAGAATTAAAAATGTCTGTAAGCCAAGTAAATGTAGTTTCTTTTGTGTGCATGTGGAGATTGAAAGCAAGAAATTAAATATATTGCTTAATTTTGTATTTAATTTTTAATAAGCCAGTTTTCAAACATGCACTGACAATGAAAAATATTAAATTATGAAGAGAAAAACGCGGTATAATTATTTTATCCATAAATACATTTTCCCCTGTATGGTATGCTTAACCGGATTAATTTTCTTTAAGATCTTGGTCATGGTCTCGACCAAGCGATCGCTAGAGACTCCTGTTTTTTTGTTCTTGAATTTAGTCAACAGTTCAGTAGCTGTCAATGGCTTGCGCTTCAGGTATCGACGAACAGCTTCCTCGGTAATACCATAGTCTCTGTAAGAATGAATTGTAAATTAGCCAAATTAAGACTTTTTTACTTTCGAACATTATTATACTCACTCCACTTTGTTGTTCACAACGCCCGCAAATGATGATGGCATCGAGTTGCTCAATTCACTCTTGGGTCGTTTTGCTGGTGTGCTGTTAGGACTATTACTGGTGTCCGATCCTGTAAGATCACTGGGCAAGCTGTTCATTTTACGTTTGCTGGGGTCATTTATTTGAGTGGGCGTAGCTGAACGTGATTTGTTTGCATTGCTGCCACTGGCAATTGCCTTGATAGCACTATCTTTATCCTTGTCTTTATCTTTGTTTGATGAGGATTTCTTTTTGGGCGGTCCATTGCTGAGGTCATCTTCGGTATCTGTGCTATCTGAGCTGAGGTCCGTGGAAGAATCGCTACCGTTCGATTTTGATTTCTTGTCATCTTTTGATTGTTTCTTTTTCTTTTTATCCTTTGTGTTTTCATCTTTGTTCTTTTCCTTCTTCTTTTTCTCATCGCCCTCCTCTTTATCTGATTCATCTGATTTCTTTTCTTCATCTTCTTCCTCGTCCGAAGTGAGCAACTTACGGAGGGCATCTTCTTCGGCCACGCCTTTCATATCCTTTACAAGCTTTGACTCCGGATCAGGTTCACTGAAATCAAATTTGATGAGATAAAAGTACAACAAAACTTTCGATCGAAACTCACTCTTCACTGGAACTGGTATCGTAATCCATTTCGCGTCCCTCTTCGTCGCCATCATCGGACTCTTCAAACGCCTCATCATCCACATCGCGTTTTTTCTTCTTTTTATCCATGCCCTTTTTCCCTTTACCTTTCTTTCCAGAACCATCGTCGCTGTCCTCCTGTTCCTTTTTATTTTTCTCCTCCTCCTCTTCTGAGTCAGACTCATCCTCAGAATCAATCCACTCGTCCATATCAGTTATTTTCAGCTCCTTGGACTTTTTGGTGGCGGCTTTCAATAATTTTACCTCTTCGGGGTCTTGCTCCTCCTCTTCGTCGCCTCGTAAACGCTTACGCAACATAAGGGAAAAATAATTCATCACCTTTTTGCGACGTCCAAATTCTTGCTCAGCCTCCTCCGCGGAAAGGGACTTGTAGCGTTGTATGGGCTGAAAATTGTACCATTCATTGAGAGGATATGCTTCGATTGCACCATCGGGAGCGTGTGTGAACACATAGAAGGCAGCATTTTCGCCGACTCCACCTTCCCGAATACCCTTAAATTTTTTGCCCATTTTGCCACCAACTTTAAGAATCCACGGCTGAGCCTCTGGTCTATATTTGCGCGCAATAATGCCAAATTTCTTACGACGTGCTTCCTCTCGCTGGTCCCGATTGTATTCCGAGCCAGCGCCAAATTTCGGCTGTTCTTCGTCGATGCCCCGGAACTCTTTCATGTTATTCTCGCGCTCAAGCTTCACATTTCGCCACTGCGCGAAATCAACATTAAGTGTGGCATTAAAACGCATGACATGGTGCTTTTTGCGCATCTTGGGTACACGAATCTTAAACTCCTGGACATTTCCGCTGCCCGATGCCGATGTGGACGCCACCGCACTTGCGGACGTGGTACTTCCACTACTACTGCTGCTTGACTGAAATTCGGATAATATTGGATCCATTGTGAAAAGGTGTCAGCCGTAATCCACACTCTACTTACTGTCGACTTTACCGCACTCGACATGTTCAAAATAATCAGAAATTAAAAACTTTATTTTATTGCTTCCTGAATAGAAACAAAAGTAGTGACTGGCCGATAGTTTGGTATTAAACATTGTATTCCTTCGGCTCTTAAAAATATCGATGTTTTTACATTTTCATAATATAACGTTGTGTAACGCATAAATGATAGTCCTTAAAACTTATTAATAAAATAGTTTAAAAATATATTTATATGTAATAAATATGTCTTACAATACACATTAATAATCATATATAAAACAAAAGTGACTATTGGATGTAGTATTAAAATTATATATATTAAATTAATCGTCAGCCAAAATAAGAAATAATCGATATTTTATGCGAAATCCGAGAACGATAGTTTCATCTCTATTTCAATTATATGTTGATGGTTTGTTTGGATTTAGTTCAAATTTACAATGTCACGAAACAGTGGGCTTACCGATGAGCAAAGCAAACTAAATGCTCGCCTGGAAGCCCATATGGTCTATATATGCCCAGAATGTGGCAAGGCGTTTCGAACACAGGCTGAATGGCGAGAGCACTTGAACACGGTATGTTTTGACCTACACAAATGAAAACATATTTATTATTATATTATTCCTAAACAGAAACACGAATACCTCAAAAAGACGTATTCTGACTTTAATTTCATTCAAATCGATGAGAATTTCCACGAATGCCAACTTTGTTTTAAGTGGGTGGAAAATGCCCATAAAACAATTGCACTGCTACAGTATCATTACTTCATGCACTTGGATCATCGAGAAACGTACCGATGTGTCCATTGTCGCCTTGCTTATACACGGCGACGGGCATTAAACGAGCACCTATTGTCTACACATTTAAAAGAAATTGAGAAGTATGAGGCGAAGTTGAAGCAAGTGAAGCGAAGCCAAGATGAAAAAAAAATATCAAAGGGGAAATCTGCAAAACTACCGCGCAAGCGAAATGACCTTTTGCAAAAGGCGTTGATGGATATTGATCTGCAGGGTGAAGATCAGGATGCAGCAACATCATCAGCAGCATCTGCAGGAAAAGCCAAACCAAATGACAGTGAACAGGCACTTGATCGCTGCCTAAATGCCTACGAAGACATTGTGCGTAAGGAAAATGAAAAAAATGTTGAATGCGACGTTGATTTAGATGCATTATGCCAAGAATTCTTTGAGGAGCGCCTTGAGGATACTGATAATGCGGCAAAGCCAACTGAAGCAAGTTCACAGCAAAACAAGGAAGTGGTTATCATTGAAATAGATGCGCTTGGTGAAGATGAAGTGGATAAGCTGAAGAAGAACATGAAGATAGAGCCAGAGACAGATACAGAAAGAACACATTCTCTCAAACGTCGACGATTATTACAAACACCCGAGAGGGAAGATGTCCCTACCAATGGACTTGCGAAACTCATTTCGTATTTGTGTCCAAAGTGTGGCAAAGAAATAGAATCCATGGATGACTGGCGTTGTCACGTCTTTAAGAAGCACAACTTTGAGTATTTCATTGAGAATAGCTTCAAGATCAAAGATCGACAGAGCATTTGCCTGCAATGTCACGAGGTGATGCAGACTACCACACGCTCCCACCTGCAGAAGCATTGCTTTAAGCATTTACCATATCGTTCGTATTTGAAGTGCACATTATGTGATCGGACGAAGACAAGCATGTCTAAGATGTACAATCATATACGTTACAATCATCAGGACGAACTTCATCGCAAGAACAAAACCCAATTGCTTATCAAGCCGGAGCCCAAATGGACAGTACCTACGCCATCAGACAAACTCCACGAAAGACCTGAACCCGATCATCACATAAGCGATCAGGATGAGGAACGCATTTGTAAATTTTGTAATAAGACTTTTAAAACCCTTTGGCGTTTTGAGCGGCATGCTTTGCTTTGCAAATCCTATTTATCTCCGAAGTCCACAACGGATATATCAGCGGATGCATTACTCAAGCACTTGCGGGAAGGACGATTACGCATGAATACCATATGGAAGACAATGCAAAAGGAACTCTAATAGTAGCGTATGACAATCAATCACCAAAACCCCAGTTAACAATACATAATACGACGTGTACTTTTGTTATAATAAAGTTTGCAATCATGTTTGTAGTAAATCTATGATAGATTCCTATTGCATACATTATAAAAATGTAAGATTATAACCATAATCTTGTGTATCTGGCAATCCCCAGAGGCAACTAGTTCAGATTAATTATATTTGTTTACTTTTTATATTAAATATTTATATATATACATATATATTAAAGGGACATTTTTAAAAGGGACATTTGTTATTACCATCTTTATTATATACAATTTTAATTATATATATATCCACAATATATATGGAACTGTACGCAACACTGGGTCCTCTTGGTCATTTGCTTTTACTACCCATAGACAACCTCATCTAATGGAATGGATTTTAAATGGGTTATTTACTTTCTGAGACCGACGGTCACTACATGGTTCATAGTTCTGATCCGAACATTTTTGTATTTGCCTTTGCGTACAACGTCCTCAATTTGGTTCAAAAATCTGCGAAACGTAAATCGCCATTTATTTTCTTCAAGTACTCTAAATCGCATATTCTCACTGTCCACATCATTGTCAGAAGGAATTTCATTAGCATTCTTGAAATCAATTAACATTTCATCATTATTCGATGCCACAATAGTTCTCTTGTGTGCTTGCTGGGTCTGATTGTCAGGCTTGTTGACAGCTTCACGATGATCGTTACGATCAGCATTTTGGTTAGGCGTATCCTCATCGTTGTTCTCAGTTTCATGGTCATCATTAGTGGTGGGTATAGCGTCATTTACTTTCTCATTACTTGTGACTGCACGATTATTGTTAGCATTCTCATTCGGATGTTTAGTTTTAAATTCAGCGTCTTCTCTAGTTTCGAGGTCGTCCTCATCTTCATCGTCAATTATAGCGCAAAGACCTTTAAGCCTTTGATTTTTGCCAGATATGCAGCCGTCTCCTGGGCGATTACTAGAATGGTAGACTGGCTGACCTTTAATTGGAGCCTCGTCATAATTGCAGGTGAAAAAGTTTTGAGTCCATTCATGTCTAGACTGTTTCAGAGTGGCGCAACCAATTTTATGGACGTTCTCATGCACGAGTTGCAAAAAGTTATGCGGTGGCGCGCTGTAACATATTTATAACAATTTTATATAAATTTCGGATTATATTTAAGTATCTTACTCTTCAATACCGCTGTATTTAAGAATGTCTTTCATCGTTGCCAGCGAAGACTGTTTAAACCAATTATTAATATGTTGTGTGATAAATTGCGATGAGGAACGAATTTTGCCTTTGACTCCTCCATAAGCTGTGGTCTGCCCTACATTCTTATGGATCCTCGTATTGCGGCAACTATCACGGTGAAGTGTACAGCTACGGACATTCATCTCTGCAATATATGCAAGCTCGGCATCCCATCTAATGGTCGACATATTGGAGGCGCCGTTAAAACCATCCAAGTTGCCGAGTGCCACAGTATTGCGCAGTTCATTAATATGTTTCAATATGTTGTTCTTATCATGCATCGTTAAGCGAATAATTTCAGCATCGACATTGCAATTATACTTGTTGAATTGCTGCGCTTACACCATATCGAGTTGCATATCATTAAACGCTATCTAAAGTTTCAAATGGGAATTACTTACATCCGGTTTCATGTCGCAGGCCACATGGCCATTGCACACATCAGGACTGCAGTAATCCGTTGAGGTAGCTTGCGCTATCAAAACGATACAGCACGAATATACAACTGTCGTCAGCAAAGACATTTTACCATTTGATCTCATTTCGGCCGCAGCTGAATCAGATTTTCCGCTTTTGATTGGTATAAAATCTATGAAATTTCGATTTTAAGCCTCATATTCTACTTATTGATTCGTATCACTATAGATTATGATGGTGTGTATATGCTGTATCCAAATACACCTGCAATAATATTTGTATTAATTATTTACGTAACTTAATTTACAGATTACAAGAGATCATATAACAGTTAATGTGTTTTAAAAATATCATGTACAAATTATTAAATCTCTTTAAAATTATATCTGATGTTTACCATTCTAAATTTGAGACACGTAAGAACGCAATAATTTAATTAAAAAATTGAAAATATTAGATAATAATGCATAAGTACATCTGTGGAGGGGGTTAACTGTGAGCTCCTTGCAAAGTATGGGGATTCTAACTGTAAAACAGTATTTGCTTTATATTATTATACTATTCAAATTCCAAGTCTTGGGCGCCCATTAGTTTTCATAAAATATAATAAATCCTGGTTTGATCTCTCGGGGGCTTATTCAAAAAATCTTTGCATTAAACCAAATACTATCTTAACTTCGTGAACCAGAATAAAAATATGTACCAATTAAAGTGTTGCTAAAGCGTTATTTTCGCTTAATTCAAATTTTTAGTAGTATTCTTTTAAATAGGTTTTAATAATCTAGTATTTTCTCGATATCTTTTTAGTGAATACAGTATTTTTGGTATAAAGTCGATGAATGACTGTGACTGTCCCTGACATAATCGATAGCAACAAGATTCGGACTGTCAATACCTATCGATAGCGGCTAAAAAAAAGTTTGTGGAAAAAATTTTCTTTACTCTTGTAGATGCTAATTGAATAAACTTTGTTGTGTGACAATTGTGCAATGGAAACAAGTTTGGATGAAAGCATGGATGCTGATAGAGCAAGTCCAAGTCCTCAAGACTCCCAATCGCAAACTTCTCCAGCTATAAATGGCAAACCTGCTGGAGGCGGTATTGGTAGTCAAGACGGCATAAACGGGGTGGCAGTTGCTAAAGAAAAAGCAAATGCCAGCGAATTGCAATGGTAAGGGCATTAAACGTCTATTTAGCGTTAACATGTTCAATGGAGCCTTATTTTTGGTTAATTGTAGGAGCAAGCCATTCAACGCTTTTAGCGGCCGTCCAATGGGTGAACACACGCAAATGCAGCAGCAGCAGCAACAACAGCAGCAACAACACCAGCAACAACAACAACAACAACAGCAACAGCAACAGCAACAACAACAGCAACAACAACAACAACAGCAAGCCCAGCATATGGCTAACAGTCAGTCGGGTGTAAACGGGGTGGCACAGGCGCCAGAAATTTGGGTAGAAACTAAAGCTGACGACGGGCGCTCGTATTATTATCATGCGGTAACTCGTGAAACGACTTGGACCCGGCCGGAAGGTTTAAATTTGAAAATTATGACACAAAGCGAGGTCGAGGAGCTGGCCAAACGACAGTCAAATGCCGCTGTAAAGCCCGACAAAAATCTAACCAATCATGCTGATATTTCAGCTGGCGCAGCAGCGGTGTCCGGCCACTCACATTTAACATCTCAACCTCCACCGCATCTTTTAAACCAACCACCGCCAAATACTGCGGCACCGTTGCTAAGTCAGCCGCCTCCGAATGTGCGACAACAGCCGCCACCGATGTTTCAACAGCCACCTGGTATGCAGCCGCCCCCTGGCTTTGGTCAGCCACCGCCATTTTGCATGCCTCCGCCCGCTTACGGTTTTCCTGGTGCTACACCTACTGGGCCCTGGGGCGTTGGAGTGCCGCCGTGGCAGCAGCAACATATGCATGCACCGCCCGGAGCGTCACAGGATAAGCCTGCTAAAAATCTGATCATAAAGCCGGGCGTCATTGACCCGGCAGTTATTGCGCGAGCAGCGGAATGGTCTGAACATCGTGCTCCCGATGGTCGACCCTATTACTATCACGCAGCACGCGGCGAAAGCGTATGGGAGAAACCACAAGCGCTGCGCGATATGGAAGCGGCACGCATGGCAGCTCATTCGGGCGCATCACCACAAACTTCAGTTGGACCTCCAGCTGGAATGCCGCCTCATTTGCTACCCAACCCGCTAATGCATATGCCGCCGGGTGCAGCACCAGGATTTGATCAGCAAATGGCATTCGCCGCTGCAGCAGCAGCCATGAAAGCTAATAGTGAGAACAACAAAGCTGCACAGGCTGCAGTGTTGGAAAAAGAGGCTAAGAAGGCGGCCGAGGAGAAACGTAAGAAAGACGAAGAGCAGAAGAAGCTCGCTGTAGCAGCTGCTACTGCAAAGCAAACTGACAAGTCACGCCCAGTGACCAGCACGCCAATTGCGGGCACACCATGGTGTGTGGTTTGGACTGGTGACGCGCGTGTCTTCTTTTACAATCCATCAACGCGTACTTCCGTTTGGGATAGACCCGAAGATTTGATGAATCGCGAGGATGTCGATAAGGCGGTAAATGAACGACCCGAGCAATTAAAATCAGCAGAAGAGAAATCTGCTGAGTCCGACAAGAAACCTACCGATAATATTACTGCGCTGGAGAAGCTGGCTTTAGGACAACAGCAACCACAGCAGCAGCAACAGCTACAGCGCTTAGAGCCAGATGATGATGAAGATGATGAGATCATCAAAATACGCACCGAGTCCGAGTCAAGCGTGGAGGAGGTACCAACAAAACGTGTGCGTACGTGTAAGTACAAAAATATATTTTAAACAACAACTAAAATCGCAATGTTATTATTATGGTTCGAGTATAATTGATTTATCTTCAATTTCAGTTACTAAGACCAAAAAAAATGAGGATGCTGTGCTAGAGGCAGAACAGCGTGCGGCTAAGGAGCGCGCATTGGTGCCGCTAGAGACACGCGTCACTCAGTTCAAGGAGATGCTGCGCGAAAAGGATGTTTCCGCTTTCAGCACCTGGGAAAAGGAGCTGCACAAGATTGTGTTTGATCCGCGGTATTTGCTACTGACATCAAAGGAACGCAAACAGGTATTTGAAAAGTATGTGAAGGATCGCGCCGAAGAGGAGCGTAAGGAGAAACGCAATAAGATGCGACAGAAACGCGACGATTTCCGTAAATTAATGGAGGAAGCCAAGCTGCACGGCAAGTAAGTAGTACAACAATAAAGAGTTCCATTTATTTTAATACAAATAATCAAAAATCTTTTTTTAGGTCGTCGTTTTCGGAATTTAGTCAGCGGAATGCCAAGGAGGAGCGGTATCGTGCCATAGAGAAGGTACGTGAGCGTGAGAGCTTGTTCAATGAGTATATCGTCGAGGTGCGTCGGCGTGAGAAAGAGGATAAACAGCTAAGGAAAGAGCAGGTATGTGTTGGCGTCGTGTGACCAGTTGTCCACTTACGTATCCATATATCCATATATGCATATTTATTCTTATATATGTTATTGACTTACCATATTATTTGTATACAACGTATTTACATAATATTGATTTTTGTTAATTGATACAACATGAACCGATCTGAACGATTGCCCCTGACCGGTTCGGTTGCAATTTCATGTTGCGAATTGTGTGTTCGGTACGATCAAATTTTTAGATAAGAGCTAACAGATTACAGCACAAAAGCACCCACCAAATGCAAACACCAAATTCACACACTGCCGTTGATCCTGTCGTCATCGTTGTCGTCCTCATCTCGTTGTCTTCATGGTGCCAGTTCCAGGCCAAAGTTGATAGCTCAAGTTCACCACGCACACGCTTGCATAATCTGTCTGTGTGGTGAGTTCAAACTAAAAACAAAAACAAAAAAAATTTACAAAAAATTTGTTTTTCTGCAAATAAGAAACAAATTTGGAATAAACAAAAACCATACAAAAATATAAAACAGTCACTAAAAATCAAAAGGTATGCAAAAATTGAAAATTACCTGATAATCGTTGGTGTGATTTCCACTTCCCGCCCCGCCCTGCGTCGCAATTGTCGCCTAGGAATGATGTTGTGCCAATGATGATGATGATTATCGATGATCAATGATGGCGATGATGATGATGATGATGTTATTTGGCGTTATATGTTCATAAAAGATGAGATGTTGATGTTGGAAGATCAATGTTTTGGGCTAATGGAAGCGGAAGCAGCCACTCATCACTGAACAACACTGAACAACAACAACCATTACAGAACGGCCAACAACAACAAATCGCGTACAGGTGGCTTCGAGGCTGAGCAAACAGTATGAATAATACATAATTTAATTAAACCAATATTTCTTTTTGTTTTATCAAAACTTGTAAATGGCAGCGTCCACAGCAGGAGAATCAATCTACACGATCCAAGCCAGTGCAGAGCAACGTAAGAACTGACTATTGAGAATAGCTCGTTCTCGCTCTCTACCTCTCTTACATTGCTCTCACAAGCTTCAGGCAACGGCCCTGCACGTTGATACACTCTGTCTTTCACTCAGACACAAATTAATTTATTATAAATTATGTATTTGGTATGTTTACTTTAGTTTTATGACCCGTACCCTTCGGCCCAGCTGAAGCGTTTCTCCTGACCCGGCCACGTTCTTTTAAAGAAATTGCATCGTGCTCAATCAAAACGGTCGTCACTCCTTTACTTTCTTCACTAAACTTCACTAAAAAAACACATTAAAATGACGAAAGCCAATTACAACATGTTGACAAATGTATACTTTGTCAAATTGTCTTAAAACACCTATAAGTTCTGTTTATTTACTTGACATTGTTTTATATCCGATCAAGTCTGTTCGCCGACTTGGGCCTGATTGTGTACTGCATTTTTTTAACAGTCTAGTGGTCGGAACTGATAGAGATTGTCTTTCAGCTAGGCCTACCACAAAGCTAATCAAAACATTCTTTTTCAGCCAAAACAAAGCGTGTAACTATGTTTATAAGATTTAAGTTTATCTAGATATTAAGGCAAGTTAAGTTAATGCCATAAGTTTTAGACTTTAAGTGAAATGCGCATTAGTGTCAGAGGCGTAACTAATTTATTTTTTCAACCGATTTCTTTTTTCTTCCGCATGGCTGTCATGTCAAATTCCATTTTGAATCTTTAGATACGCAAGGACTTTTTGGATATGCTGCGAGAACGCCATGATATTGAACGGCATACGCGCTGGTATGACATCAAGAAGAAGTTTGAATCTGATTCACGGTATCGGGCAGTAGACTCCATGTACCGAGAGGAGTATTTTGAGGATTACCTGCACATTATGAAGGAGGAGAAGCGCAGAGATCGGGAACTTCGCGATCAGCGCGACAAGGAGCGCCAACGAGAACGCAAATCAGATCGTCGGGAAAAGGATAAGGACAAAGACAAGAGCAGAAAAGACAGCCGTAGAGAGCGCAGCCGTTCAAAAGAACGAGACTGCAAATCTTCACGTGACAAGGAGGAGAAGGGCAAAGATCGCAAGAGACAGGATACGCCGGTGAGTTAAATGTTATCATCTTAAATTTGAGAAATTGATATTAAACTTATTTGTAGGAGGAGGGTGAACACCGCGACGAATCGGAACAGGAGGAGCGTGCCGGTAGCGAGGACAGCGAAATGGCACGGCAGCGCGAAACCGAAGCAGAACAGAAACAGAAGGACCGCGAACGCAAGTTGCGTGCAGAGCAGAGTATCAGGGAGCGAGAAAAGGAGGTACATCGCACACTAGCTGGTCATCTGCGCGATCGTGATAAGGAGAGGGAGCATCATAAGCGGGACGAGTGCATTGGACACTTTACAGCCCTCTTAACTGATCTGGTGCGCACACCTGATTTCACATGGAAAGAGGTAAAGCGTCAGCTTCGTAAGGATCATCGCTGGGAATTAATTGAGACACTTGATCGAGACGATCGTGAACGGTAAGCATACCTAGAAGAAGGTAATATATTGGCATATTTTATATTTGTTGTTGTCAATTGCGCAGAATCTTCAACGAGCATATTGACAATCTGATGAAAAAGAAACGCGAAAAATTCCGCGAAATGCTTGATGATATTAGCTCACTACAATTGACTAGCACCTGGAAAGAAATTAAGAAACAAATCAAGGATGATCCGCGTTATCTAAAATATAGTTCAGATAAAGGAGAGCGCGAGTTTCGTGATTATATTAAGGATAAAACCATGCAGGCCAAGACAGCGTTGCGTGAACTATTGCAGGAGTGTAAATTTATTACACACAAGAGCAGTGATCTCATCAAGGAGAATGTCAATCACCTTAAGGAAATCCAGGACATTCTCAAAAACGACAAACGGTAAGCTTTTGGCTGGCTAATATTTGATGAATCGATTGATCACAGTAAACATTCATTTAGCTACTTGGTGCTGGATCATTTGGATGAAGAGCGCAGTAGTATTCTAGCAGCTTTCTTGGACGAGATGAATAAGCGTGGACCTCCACCGCCACCAACAGCTTCAGAGTCAACACGTCGCAATAAGTGATGCTAAAATCATACTATTCATTACAAACAACTCAAACCCCATTTATATTAAGCATTGAAATAATGTAGCACCTAAAAACCATATTTTAAACCTTATAAGTGCATGCCACAATGTACTTTACAATAAATGCAAAATGAAAATTATAACTCCAATTGGTAATTTTAAATTCATATATATGTATATATATGTTTTATTGATCATATGTTATATTAGATTTGTGTTTCTCATTATATATAGATTTATATATATTCGATTTTTTTTTCGAAATTTCATAATTGTATTTATATATATATATATATATATATATAAAATAGAATTATGAAATTATATATGTATACATATATTTATATATATATATATCTGTACGAATGTACTTGTTCTCCAATTCATCGCTACCATTATTGTATTCTACAGATTTGCTCTGTACTTTTTTTGTATTAGTTTTCTAGGTACTACAAAATACAATAATCTCTATATATTGTAATTCATATTCGTTTTTAACGTCGTCGCCACGTAATTTGGCGTTCACTTTTAAACATATAGTTCAATTTAATGTCAATACACACACACATATATATATATTAATATACATGTATGTGTGCCTATTAGGAACTAATAGCGAAAATAACGCGCTTCGTTTGTGTTTTAAAAAATTTTTCCACCTAAACTTAAAGTGCTTATTGGTGTTATTGAGCTGTTAACGAACATTCCAAGGCAACTATTCCGCACACTTGTAATCTTATCAAAATATTCCTATCATACCTAAGCTGTGAAGGACAAGCTGACAAGTACAGAATTAAAAGTATGTGAAAATGAATAAGCGAAATTGTTTTTTTAACAATTTGAATTAAAGCAATTAATCGGACCGAAAAAGATTAAGAAATTAATTTTGCTTACAAATTTTCGGTTGCTGGGTTCCGAATTGTGCGTACCATTGAAATAAAACTAATAACATTAAATTTGTATGCAACATTTTGTTTTAAAGATGATTTTGAAAACTAAATGCAAATCCTGATTTTGAAGAAATAATAATTCAATTTTTTGTTTTTTCATTATAACGAAAGAAGTTACACTATTTCTAAATGTGTCTATTGCTGATTATTTTCGGAACTTAAGTAGCAAGTATAACATTTTTGATTTTCTGTGTCGCTGAACTACAGTTGTGGCTGTTATTTAAGTTGTCTGTTCTACGCTACGTGCTATGTTAATCTATAATAGTAATTACTATTGTTTATCTTATTAATTGTTGTTTGCTCTTATTGAATGTATTCTTGTAAAGTTTTATTTTGTTTTCTCTTTCATTTATTGGTTAGGCACAAAGTAACTGCTTTTTTCATGGTTACACGCTATTTAATTGCTAGTTATATTTAGTTGCTATTCCCAATTTATTGAACAGTTGAGAGTGTACCTCTTCAAATTTGTTGTATCATTTACTATTCGCTATGTCTATAATAATTCAATAAATTGCTACAATCTGTTATCATGATAAACCATGTTGCAGTGTTGTCATGTATTTGAAAAATATAGGCTCTTCTAGTATCATGGAAAACTATTTTACAATTACAATTTACCACTTGGATTTACAACTACATATTTATAGAGACATGGTACATAAAGGAAGGCTGCATATGTGTGTGAGCGAGGGACAAAGCTTGGTAAGATCTTTGGTAACAACATAGACATAGATCCTTTCTGAAAAGGAAATCAGATAAAAAATGTATAAAAATATTAATGGATAAAATCGGAAAACATAAAATAAAATATGATTGAAAATAAAAATATGCTTCAAGCGCATATATATAAAAATATATATATAGGTTTTATTAAATAAAGCAGTTTACGAAAACTAATTGAAACTTTGACTGAATGCAGTTAAAATTTGTAAACGAAACAGTTAAATAATACTCTTAAGTGTTTAAAGTTAGTGTTACAGCGTTTTGCGCAAGAATTGCGTAAGTGTTCTCACTTTTACTCAGTTGTTTCTTATAGAAAATTGTTGAAAAACTAATATAGAATTTAGAATGATTTTCTTTTCCTTTATACAATTGTTATAATAAAGAATTACATTATTATTTTTATATGATTTTTAAATGCAAATGCCAATTAATTATAAAATGTTATTTATTTAATTTGTTGAATGAATTTTTGTCAAATTATTTAAATTAAATTTCCAGGGCATTTAAAATGCTCGATAATTTGGTATAACAAATCAAAAGTAGAACTTATTTTTGATTAGAAAAACATCGAAATGTTCCGAAAACTGTTCGTAAAATTCAGCAGTAGACTGGAAACCCAAATTGTTGTCGTATGAATTCTTCTACGCATACTTGGCTACATGAGTGCTGTAGTTGCTCATTGATTTTCTTTGTTACGAGTAGTTAATAATATATATAATAAGTATATATGTGTTTGTATATAAATACGTTTATATAAATAATCATAATAATCATAAACACTTATAATTTATCATCTGTTCATCATACGCATAAATTGTTGCTATTGTTGTTGTTGTTGTTCTCGCTGTTGTTGCTTGTTGTAACAGTAATTCATTAGTAATGGTTAAATAAGTTGCTGTTTTTTGGTTGTCAATCAGTTGCCCTTGGTCGCCTCTTTAGCGGCCATAATCAAAGGCGTCAAACTGGCCAATGGACGCGCCAATTTTAGGAAGGGATGCTGTAAATTGAAATTTATTTATTATTGTTCATTATAAATAATTCTTTATTAAATCAGCCAGACGCACCTTTAGCAAATCCATGGCGCTGGCGCGTCGCTCCACTTCCACTTCCAGACATTGATCTAGAAAATCTTGAAATGCAGCCGTTAGCTTGTCTTTTTCCTTAATCTCCGGCTTGCCATTTGTGGCAATGAGGTACAAGGCTTTCAGGGGATTCTCATTCAAATACGGTGGCTCACCCTCGACCATTTCAATAGCCATAATGCCTAGCGACCACAAATCGACCTGGAATTATAAATATTTCTTATTGTGTGTCATTCATCAAAACGGTTTGTAGTACAATACCTTTGGTCCGTACTGCTTGCGTGTAACTACTTCGGGGGCCATCCAATAGGGTGTGCCAACCATAGTTGTGCGTTTGGATTGTTCCGGCGAGATTTGCGCACAGAAACCGAAGTCAGTCAGCTTGACGGAGCCGTCCAGGCCAAGCAGTATGTTATCACTTTTAATATCGCGATGAATTACCTGATTGGCGTGCAGAAACTCAAGCGCCTGCAACACCTCACGACAAACGGCCGCAATTTGCCCCTCATCCATGCAGGTCTCGGTAACAACGTCTGTAAGTGAGCCACCAGGCAAATATTCCATAACTACCCAGAGTTCCTCCGATACCAAATAACTATCCAAATAGTTAACCACATTCGGATGTTTATTCTCTCGCATGACTAAAATCTCATTGATGATGAGCTCCTTCTTGGGCTGCTGCGACAAATTCATCTGTTTGATGGCCACTTCCATGCCCGTTGAGGACTCAATGGCCGTATAAACAGTACCCGACGCACCTTGACCAATTTTCTCCATCTTGGTGTACTTCCGATTGGGATCGCCCACAGAGACAATGGTGCGCAGTTTCTCAAGTATTTCTTCGTCAGACATTTTCTTCTTCTTGGCATTAGCGGCTCTCGTCGTTGTCGTCGTCGTTGTCGTTGTTGCAGCCGCTGCCTGCTGTGGCACTGCAATTTGAGTGCCCGCTGCAGGCGTTGCTGCCAGAGCCGAGACATTAAGATTGTTGGCCGTCGGATCGTGGTACAGGTCTGTGGCAGGTGTTGCAGGTGTTACCATCGTAATAGTGGGTATGGTCGTGGAGACAGCGCCAGAATTGCGTGTGGAAGACGTTGGTGTTGGACAATGTATCGAGGGCAAGGCGTTGGCGGAAAGCGGCGGCGTCGCATCATCATGAAACGAGGGGAATGATGAAAAGGAGGAAGCAGAAGAGTGGTGATTAGTCGTTGTTGCTGTAGATGTAGCTTCTGCTGCTGCTACTGGTGCAGCAGCAATACACTCAGAGAGCTGCTGCTCCTCTCTGCTAGCAGTTATTGTAGCAGTGGGAGGACAATTTGTAGCATTTGCCAAAACAGACAAAATATGAGCAGTAGCAGCTGTTGTTGTTGTTGTTGTTGCTGCTGCTGTTGCCTCAATGCCTTCTGTATCTGTTGTTGTTGTTGCTGCGGCTGTTGTTGTTGTTGCTGTTGCTGTTGCAGCTGCTACTGTTGCCGCTGTGGAGCTGTTCGCTGCCGTCGCAGTTGCTGATGTTGCAGTAGTTTGGAGGTTAAGCAGCAATTCAAAGCAGATACAAAACAGAACAGAACAGAACACAGAAGAGGCGATACAAAATGACAATAACATTAGCATTAAACAGTACACATTACGCATCAATGCATTGATAACTTCAAATAAAACAACAACATGAGAACTGAAACCATCTTCGAACTGCACCGAAGCAAATTGTTACCCTTGCAGTAAATTAGGAGCTACGAAGATTTGCAATTGCAACTGAAAAAAACTTAAAAAATGCCTATGCCACGCTAGAGTACCAATATTGAAGAGTAATTCTAAGCAAAGTTTCAGTTGGAGATATGAACAGGAATTGCATTGATAAATGATTTATCAATTTTTAAAATATATCTTACGTTATGGTAACATGAATCGGTTTCAATTTGTAATACAAACACACGGAAAGATTGATTTGGATTGGGTATACAATTTGCATCATAAAAATATAGAGACCTAAATGTCAGAATGGATGTCAACATCATTTTCTTAAGTTAGCACTTAGTGGTTAGTAATGAATTTCCAGTCACTGCAAGGGCTTGGAAAACTTGAAATTTAACAACCTTAAGGATTTGGAATGTCGATTCGCTGCTACTACTCACTTGCATTGTTCTTGTTCTTGTCCAGCGTCGTTGGGGCATTGCTGTGAATATGGGGCGCTGCCGCCACCGTGACTGTTGAAGCTTTGTGGTTTTGTAGTGGGGTCGTGGGTGTCGTTGCTGGTGCCGCTGGCAACGGCGCCGGTTGCAGTTCTTCAATGGGTCGCGTATAGATTGACTTCGTGCGCTCCGGGCGAGAAGCCACAGGCGGTGGTGGTGGTTGCTGCGACGCGACACCCATATCTACATACATATCG